ATTGGAGAAAATAAAGGAAAGTGAAAAGAAATTGAGAGCAAAACCAAAGTCGCAAGAGATCTTGAGAGAAATAAAGTTATATCAAGTACAATACATGAAAATGATGAATCAGGAGATAGAATGGAAAATTAAACAAATGAGACAAAAGACATTTGAGTCGGCTAATAAATGTGGGAAATTGTTGGCTTGGCAAATGAAAAAAAGACAAAAACTAAATACTATTATAAATTTAGAAGTGGAAGGAAAGAACATACAGAACCCAGTTGAGATTAGAAACTGTTTCCAGAGGTATTTTAAACAACTATATACACAAGGGCCACAGAAAGAAATTGATGTAGACCGATTTTTGAAAATAAATGGATTACAAAAATCTCTCAAGAAAATAAATTAATGCTGAACTATAAAATAACTGAACAGGAGGTAGAAGGTGCCATTCAGAATATGCAATTAGGTAAATCTCCAGGACCGGATGGACTGACTTCTAGATACTACAGATCTTTAAGAGAATGGTTAGTACAACCTTTAAAGGAAGTCTGTAATGAAATAATGGATGGGAAAAGGGCACCAGAGTCGTGGAAAGAAGCGTATATTACACTTATACCGAAAACAGAGACTGAAAAGACGCAGCTTAAGAACTACCGCCCCATATCACTGCTTAATGTGGATTATAAAATCTTTGCAGACATTTTGGCTAAAAGACTAAAAAAAGTGTTAGTGGAAGAGATTCATAAAGATCAAGCAGGCTTTCTCCCGGGTAGACACTTGTCTGATAATATGAGAAACATAATCAATATTTTAGAAAAATTACAAGTGAATATTAATACCAAGGCAGTTTTGATATTTGTGGACGCGGAGAAAGCTTTTGACAACATTTCTTGGAGTTTTATGAAGAAGAATCTACAGGGGATGGGGGTAGGTCAAGGCTTTGGAAACGGTATAAGTGCAATTTATTCAGAACAAAAGGCTAAATTAATTGTTAATAACGTGGTGACGGAGGAATTTAAGATAGAAAAAGGGACACGACAAGGTTGCCCAATCTCCCCATTGCTTTTTATATCGGTCCTGGAGGTCCTGTTGAATATGATTAGAAGGGACCAATTGGTTAAAGGTATACAAGTCGGAGCTAAACAGTACAAATTGAGAGCATTTGCAGATGACTTAGTATTGACATTACAGGAGCCAGAATCTAGTACCAAAAGAGTTTTGGAACTGATTCAAGAATTTGGTCAGGTTGCAGGATTTAAACTGAATAAGTTAAAAACAAAGGTCTTAGAGAAAAATTTAACAGCGATTGAGAGAGAGAGGTTTCAGAATGAGACAGGTTTAACAGTGGTTAAGAAAGTGAAATACCTGGGGATTAACATGACAGCTAAAAATGGGAATTTATTTAAAGACAATTATGAAAAATGCTGGACTGAAGTGAAAGATTTAGCAATCTGGTCAAATTTGAAGCTTTCACTGCTAGGCCGTATTGCTGCGATAAAAATGAATGTATTGCCTAGAATGTTGTTTCTGTTTCAAACATTGCAAATTTTGGATAAAATGGATTGCTTCAAGAAGTGGCAGAGAGATATTTCTAGATTTGTCTGGCAGGGCAAGAAGCCTAGAATAAAATTTAAAATACTAACAGAGGCAAAGGAAAGAGGTGGATTTGCCCTGCCAGACCTTAGAGAGTCTGTAGTTTATGGAGTCATTCAATTTCATATTGGACTTTGCCACAATCAGGGTCTGCTGCAGTCTGAAATGGGCACATTGGCCACTAATTCTTTCTCTGGAAGCTTCTGGTGCTTGGTGCAATGATAATGGTCCTATTACTCTGTGCTGGGATTTAGAAGTCTGCAGTCTTACTGTGGCCTCCAGGCCATAAATCAGTTCCTCACCAAATAGGCCCAATTGGGCTTGGGATTTGGGTATCAGCTGATGCGAGTACACAGCCTTGGTGTATGTATGTGTGGTGCATTTTGGAATGCTGGGAACTCTGGTAAATGCATGAGTTTAGCGATGTATCAGCCTTCTTAACTTTGTCATCATCAGCAGGTTTAATTGAAATGCTCTTCCATTCATCTGCAAGGTCACTAGCAAAAAAAGGCTTAAGACTGTTGTTTGGGGAAATGCACGGGTTACTCTTCCCCAACCTGAAAGTTAATGAACATCTTTCTAATTTAAATAGCTATTTCCTGTGGGGTATTCAATCGTTATTACTCTTTCCACTATAACTCCAGATCCTCCTCATCTCTTTCCCCTCCGTTCCCTTTAGCCATAGTCTTCTGAATATTTCCTAATGTTCAGGAAATGGTGATTATGCCCATGATAAATGTGTCATCTCCAGCTCTGGAAAGGCAAAGTCCCTGCTTCACCATAATTACAACCGATACGGTTTCCCCATCATTAAAAAAAAATTGAGTTTGGTATCTCATACAGGTACCTTAAGCAGTGTTATAAGAATTCTCTTCTTTGATGAAATATTCTCTTGATGCAATTTATGCACCAACTTGAGAACACTTATTATACCAGAGTTTAAAGTGCCATTAAAAAGTAATGGGGAAGAAACACCATGGAATTTTAATGGCTGATAGGTCATCCAGAGTAGGAAGAAAGAAGAAAGAAACGTATATGAGATGAGTTGAAGACCTTCACTATGGGCCCAGAGGAATGGTGTTCCCATTTCAGATATATATATTCTACAAAAAGAATTAATGTATAACCATGTTTGAAACTGCAGGGAATTTGTACCAGCTAATACATCTGAAACTAGATGAACTCGTTCTGTAATCCATAGGCAACCTAAAATGGTATGCCTTTCACTAAGTCAGTTTAACCCAGGGTGGGGGATTTTTCTGGGATTTTTCACATTCTAATAGTGGCTTTGGCCAGACAGAAAAGTGTATGGGGCCAGACTCACTCACTCAGCCTTAAATCTCACACAAACACACACAGCTATTTCCCATGGAAACAGATGCAATCTCAGCTCATTTTTAATTCTTAGTAATTCCAGTTACATTTCTCACCTGTAATTCTCTCCACAGATTCCCCCTATGCTAAATATGTAAAACAAGCCCTCCAACACCCTTTACTCTGTCCTGACTGTGCAAAAGGCAAAAAAAAAATAGAACTCTGTAATTGCAACTGAAGAATGCAAATAAGGTTAATACACAGCTGAATCGAAAGCCTCAAAGTTCAAAATGCAATTGCGTCTCAAATATATGGATGCATGTATTTGCAAAATGCAGCAACACTGTTTGCATATTTTTTATGTTTTAAAATTAATTTTCAAAAATAAGGTTATACAAGTTTCAGCAAGATACAGTGTTATCAAACGAGATCTGATGGCAATATAGTCCACATACAATTATAGATCACGGTTGAAAAAGGCATACATAAAATAAAACTAAAGTAAATAAACCACAGGTATGGGAATGCATGGAAAGTAGTGTTTAGAACTATTAGACACAATGGCACAGACACAATGGTTAAACAACAAAGAGTTACAAAACATAAACCAATTATTCAAAAGGAAAGTAATTAAAGTATTCACATGCTCTTAGCCTTTGCATCAGCCATATTCATTTGTAGAGTGAGGTTGGTCCTCAGCCATGTTCCTTCTTCCTTACAAAAGAAGTAAAATCAGACCAGACAAGTCATCCCTTTTTCTTTGGTCCCTCAAGACTTTCAGTCTCAGTCGGGTGCCATTTTGAATCTAGATGGCAGACCAAAATATGACTTCAGGAATTTGGACACCTCTGAATATATTGTCGACCAGTTTGGTGGGACATCACCAAATTTAGCAGCACAGGTCCAGCTTGTGCCAATGTGAATACCTCTAAGGATATCACAATATTTGTGAGAATTGCTGAGTCCTTTCAGCTGGCACTCAATAAACAGATTATCTGGAAGTGCCCTTTCTCACTCCTCATTCTTGTGGAAGTCCCATTTCCTGAATACAAACCCTAATTTACTCCTCTCTCTCTCTTTGGGGGGACATTTGGAATAGGCTGTGTAAGAAGACAGTGAAGAAGGAGTATTATTTGTCCAAGTTTGTTTGCAAAACAATAATTGCAATGTAGGCAGATCATTTTTTTCTGAATGTAATTTTACAAAACAATGCTAGTTCTGATTAATCTGCCCCATCCCAAACTCTTGCATTCTTTCAAAGATTGTGCTTATTATCTCCCCCCCCATTTAAGCTCATTTGCATTATTTCCTGTTAATTTACATTTGCAACAAACAGATGTTTCGGAAATGTGTTTCTTCTGCTTTACTGTGCCACCACCAGCAGAAAGCGTACACAAATTAATTGTCTGTTTGCTCTTGTTTTAGTAACTGCTCCTGTGGCTTGTATTAATAGATTTTTATGATGTACTGCAATGTGATTCTGTACATGCTCATAGTAATTTTAACATTTTTGATGCTTATTGTAAACTTCTCAGAAGTCTATTAAAGTAAAAGAAATAAATGCACGAGTCTGTTCTTAGCAACTAGCAATTAAAAAGAAGAGAAATAGAAAGTGCAAAATGCAATCTATAAGGGTTTTCATCTTCCTGCACTGTTCATAAGAACTTGGGATGCGGTGAAATTCAGTTAAGTTTGCCTTTACAGGTGAACCTATCAAAATTGCACTTTTTGAAACAAGGTGTGGACCAAGATGCACCCATCCTTCAAAATTCCCACTTTTCTGAATTTTGCAATGCAAAATTCTCCAGCCAAGGCATATGTGCATGTAATTTGCATATACCACAGCGATATGTGCATAAAAATGGAACCCGAGTGAGACCAGAATTGACAGATTGACCCATTCATACTAAGATCTGTGATGATTGTGATACACGTTAGGAAACAAAAGTCTTCCACAAGGGGTTGTAGTTAAAAGTAGCTCTGGTAACCCCAAACAAAAAAGTTACAGAACTGATAACCCGTTTAGTGTTAAGTGTCATGTTCCAATGCTTCATATGCTAGACTTCTGTTCTCAGGATCTATAAGGTCTGCTGCAGCAAATGTTATGAGATAGCTCAGTTGGTTAGAGCATGGTGCTGATGATGCCAAGGTTGCGGTTTCGATCCTCGTTTGGGAGAGCTGCATATTCCTGCATTGCAAGGGCTTGGACTAGATGATCTTCAGGATTTTATGAATTGCCTTGCTGAGAGTTGGTCCATTTGTGTTCACACTGACTGACAGCAGCTGTCTAAGGAAAAGGTCTTTCCAAGCTCAATCTGAAGATGCTGGGAATGGAAAGTGGAAATTTCTGCATACAGTGCATGTGCTCCACTACTACTCCACTCTTGCCAAAGTCATATCCCACATATGGGGGCTTTTAAGTATGTCAGACAAGACCTGAACAGGATAAATTTTGTGCAGCAATAGCTCTGAATCAGCAATTTAGAATCCTTTGCTCGCTGAGATGGCCATAGCTGCTTCTCTTAGATGAAGAAATTCCACTCTGGTTCCTTTGATAACTTGAATGTCAATGCATTCTGACATATGCCACCTAAAGTAAGTATGTTTTTGATGGACACTCCAGCCAAATTTCTGCAGACACTGAATGATTTATTAATGAATGATCCGGTGTGCGGGAACATAATTTATGATGACACAACTGAAATAACTATAATATTATGGCCCAATCTGCATACATGTATAAGAATGCCTAGCTTTGGCATTTCATGGCCATCGCTTTAAAAAAACAACTGTCATTTTTATAAACTCAGCAACTCACAACACTAAAAAAATAGTCACTGAAAAGGGCTTAGACAAGGAATGGAGAGCTTGTGGCACTCCAGATGTTGTGGGATTCCAACTTCCATCAGCCCCAGCTAAGTATTGCCAATGGTAAAGGATGGCAGACATTGTAATATCACAACATCTGGAAGGCCACAGGTTCCCCATCCTTCGCATAGACCAGGCATGGGCAAACTCAGCCCTCCAGATGTTTTGGGACTACAACTTGCATCATCCCTGACCACTGGTCCTGCTGGCTAGGGATGATGGGAGTTGTAGTTCCAATATATCTAGAGGGCTGAGTTTGCCTATGCCTGGCATAGGCACTTGCATGGCAGCAAAGGACAGGAGCCCATCAGAGCTCAGTTCTCACAGGAATGTCTGCATAACTTCCTTTCCCAATGTGATGCTGCCCAAACATTTTAGACTACAACTCCTGTTGTCCCCGAGCATCAACCATATTACCTGGGGCTGATGTGTGTTGCAGTACAAAAACATCTGAATGGCACCAGATTAGGGAAGGCTGCCCTACAGCCAATGCAGAAGTGACTCACCCTGTGGAGTGCAGCAGCAACAGTAGTGTCCCGGTAATGGAGGTACTGCCACTTATTGAGAGAGGATGGGACAAAACGGCGGGGGGGGGGGCGCACTGGCAGAACAAATCTGGATCGTCTACTGATGCACCCACAATGTGTTGACTTCCCTGCTGCATTGATTGCCCTGTAAAGGTAAATGTCCCCTGGATGGTTAAGTCCAGTCGAAGGCAACTATGGGGTTGCGGCGCTCATCTCGCTTTTAGGCCACAGACAGCTTTCTGGGTCATGTGGCCAGCATGACTAAACTGCTTCTGGCACAATGGAGCATCGTGACAGAAACCAGAGCACACGGAAACACCGTTTACCTTCCCGTCACAGCAATACCTATTTATCTACTTGCACTGGTGTGCTTTCGAACTTCTAGGTTGGCAGGAGCTGGGACAGAGCAATGGGAGCTCACCCCGTTGTGGGGATTTGAACCACCAACCTTTTGATCGGCAAGTCCAAAACAGTGGTTTAGACTACAGCACCACCCGCCTCCCCCTAAACCCTGTAAGCAACAGTGGTCACATGGTGAGATACTTTTTATTTTTATTTTTTAAGTTGCAAAGGGCTCAGCAGTAACTGATAAGAGAATCAACCATGATCTCCATTTGCCTTCTTATTTTAGGTAAGCAAAGCTAGGATTACTGAAGTTAGGCAACTGTGGGCTCTCTCTTGCCTTTTTAACATTCTCCATCTATGCTCCAAAGATTTCTAAAAGCTGAAAGGTACACGGAGAGATGGGAAGATTTTGCTTTTTTACAAAACAAAAAGGGACATCATCTGTGTTGCTCTTGTTCTTTCTAGTACGTGCGTGAGGGAAAAAGAGTTGTGCCTCCTCCAGCTGCATGGTAACAATGGAAGCTGATTACAAAATTATTTCTGAAAGGTCCAATTGTTGCTGGAATTGTTCTCAGCAAACTACAGGAAATAATGTATGTTATTTGCAGCACCAAATGCCGCAGAAGAATAAAAGCACCTAGTACTCGTGACATTTCATAGAGCCAAACAGATATTCATGATAACAGAAGGAACGAACCTGAGTATTACGCACATGCAAAGGTTTTAGTGATAACAGATAACTTTTTGGATGCATGAAGTGGCTCTTTAATGATTCAGGTTATTGGTTCATCCAAACCAGTATGCTCTACTCTATCACGCCGGTGGTGCTGTGTTCTAAACCACAGAGCCTCTTGGGCTTGCTGATCAGAAGGTCGGTGGTTTGAATCCCCTCAACAAAGTGAGCTCCAGTTGCTCTGCCCCAGCTCCTGCCAACCTAGCAGTTCAAAAGCACACCAGTGCAAGTAGATAAATAGGTCCTGCAGTGACGGGAAGGTAAATGGCGTTTCTGTGCACTCTGGTTTCTGCCACAGTGTTCCATTGTGCCAGAAGCGGTTTAGTCATGCTGGCTACATGACCTGGAAAGCTGTCTGTGGACAAACGCCGGCTCCCTTGGCCTGAAAGCAAGATGAGCACCACAACCCCATAGTCACCTTTGACTGGACTTATCCATCCATCCTTTTCACTCTATCCAGTAGTGGTTTTCCAAGATCTTAGGTACAAGTTAAGTTCCTTGGCCGTCTACCTGAGATGCCAGGAACTGAATATGGGAGCATCTCCTCAAAAGAATTGCACTCCATCTATGAGCTATGTGTCCTTACATTATTTTCCTCACATTTATGGGCAATCTCTCAATCTCAATGTCTACAAAAGATGTTGCCATGTTTCTGCTCGGTATTCAATGCATCTCAGGAAGGCTCAGGCTCTCTTCACATCTGGAACACCCTGTTTGCATAGGGTTGCCATATGAAAATCCAGACTCCATCACTGGTGGCCGGTGGGAGATTGCCTTAGCTGGGAAAACTGGGCAGAGCAATACCTCCAGCTCGTCCAGCCCACTCCCCTCCTCAGCCCAGTCGGAGTGTTTCAATTGTTCGGCTAGAATCAGAAGGGAAGAAATGGAAAACCTGCTCCCTCTTTACCTGGAGAAGGTTGGTATTCAGATTCCCTCTCTCCCTCTCTCTTTCAGTGGGTGTGGGTGTGTACACTGCATAGGTTGTTCTAAAGGACTGAGCATAAAGAAGTATTATTTATCAAATGAATAGGGATTGGGGAATCAAATTGTTTTACAGAAAGAAATTTTAGCTTCTTCAACAATGGATGTCTTTGAAACCAGTCCTTGCTTACAGTGCTCAAGGAGATGGCTAAGCTGCTCCATTGTTTTCAAGAACTGCGAGTTAAGTGTACAGTCATTATAATCCTTTCAAGGAGATTGCAGCAATTCCTTTCCCAAACTACCCTCTCTCTTGCAACATATTATCAGTGATACAGTATATGGAATATATATTTAAAGATGCAATTAAGGCATGCCGTCTGCCTCTGGTGATTGGCCTTGTGGGCAATTTTGCGGCTAGTCAAGTCCTGAACACACTTAAATTTCTGGTTCAAATCCTGTTCCTGACACAGAATGAATGGGAAACCAGAGCTGTTCCACCAGGCCTTTGGCCAGGGCACAGCCTGACTCCCTCCTTTGGCAATCCTCACAGAACTTCTAACCCAATGGTTGCCATTAATTTGATTGGAATTAATTTTATAATGAAATGATTTTAGAATGTTTTATCATTTTACTGTTGTTAGCCGCTTTGAGCCTGGCTTCGGCTGGGGAGGGCGGGATTTAAATAAAATTTATTATTGTTATTGTTATTGTTATTATTATTAAATGTGTTGCTTGGGTTAAAGGCTTTGAGGTGCAGGAGATTCTTAGTCAGATTGTTTAGAAGTTTAAAGCAGCCGTAAAAGGATCCAGTTTTGGACAAGGCTGTGGTACTGGGAAGGAAGGAAGGAAGGAAGGAAGGAAGGAAGGAAGGAAGGAAGGAAGAAGAAGAAGAAGAAGAAGAAGAAGAAGAAGAAGAAGAAGAAGAACAACAACAACAACAACAACAACAACAACAACAATTTATTTGTACCCTGCCCATCTGACTGGGTTGCTCCAGCCACTCTTGGCGACTTCCAGCATATATAAAAACATAATAAAAATGGAATGGACATATTGTGGCCTTGAGATTGTTTCTAATGCTCAAACACAGCTGCCTATGAATTTATGTAAACATCATGTTTTCTTGTTGATGAGTCTATTAATCCAGGTTCCACAATAAAGACAAATTTAGTCCATCTAGAAGAGAAAATCGTATCTATTTTCTTCTTGCTCACTATGGCATCCAGTATCACATACCAGCAGATTGATTTGAGTATCAAACCTCTGAATTAGAGGGAAAAAACAAAGCAAGTTTAAAAGTTTGGATGTTAGTGATAAAAGACACTATCCTGCACCCCATCCATAAGAAACAGGGGAGGGAGGGAGATAGAGTTATCCTTGCCCTTGGCAAATATGCAGAAAGGCTTTTGAGATGCTTCACACCCTAATGGAGGGACTAAGGGATTTCAAACTGCTAGTCTGTTACAAGGTTTGGCATACTGCAACAAGACCAGCATGACAGAACCTTTGATACATTTGATACGCTGGACTCCACATCATGAAAACAGGATTTCACCTCAGGGCACAATTGCTGTATACTTGCTTCTGCCCCAAATATGTGCAGTTCGGTTTTTAAAAACCTGAACGCCGCAGATTAATAGGGAAAGAGACAGAACAGATCATCTCTGTGTGTGTCTCAACCTGCTGAGAAACTAGCAGTGCAATTCTGCACCACCGGGCAAGCAACTTTTGAAAAGATCTCTGAAGGCATGTGAAATCGGCACGCACCAAAAATAAGACCGACCGGTCC